CAGACACCAACTAAACACCAGACAATTTTTTTGGTGAACAGCTGAAAATATCTGCAGACTGTTCTGAATGTAGCAGCCAAGGTTTACAACAGAATCTCTGAAGACACACCAGTCCCTTTAGCCTCCAGGAGGAATAAGCTGGTCACACTCTTTGAACACTTGAGAAGTCAAATAGCAAGGCTTGCAGGTTGAAATCTAGACAGCTGATACAGGAGAAGGCAAGTGAGGGGAGAGTTGTCAGACTCTGCCAGGAAAGAGATCAAAGTCCAGACGAGGGTTTTGCACAAGGAGAGACAGAAGAATGTCATACCGAAGAAGGGTTAACGTGGAACTGACAGCCACATTTGGCAGTACAAATTTAGTGACTCAGTAGGGTCATAGTACTGTATCATGAGTACAGAGAGCAAAAAGCATGAGGCTGGCTCTGGAACTACTTTCATTCTCCGTAAACTGGTGTTGGATCACTGTGAAAGAAAAAGAGGTACTTCTAATGCAAAACAACATTCTGGTCAGTTCAAACACTATTAGTTTCACACCAGCTGAAGCCTCCTGTTTGAAAAAGACAGTTAAATGTCAGGTCAGTTTCACAGAGTCAGTTTGCTCAAGTGTAAGCTTCTAAAACAGACATTAAAGAGCACTACAAATTTTTGCACCTGCCTATCAGTACATTCAACAGCAGGCATTGGATATCTCACAAAGTAAGAAAGGAAAAATACAGATGCTTTGACCAAGCAGTAGTAAAACACAGTGCTGGTAAAACTCGGCAGACCATGTGCACTGAGACTTCAACTTGAACAGAAAGCTGCACACTTTCTCCAAAACATGCAAATAAGAATGCCAATAAACAGTTCCATCTGTGAGATACAGGGCTGACCAATTGAAAAGTCCACCATGCACTTACAATGTACAAGGGTCAAATTTGTGAGAGGCGCTCCAAATATCCTGTGTGAAGTGACAGCACAGATTGGAGCCAGAAGCTGTGCCTTGCTATTACCATGAAGAACAGAACATTACATATTTGTGACAAAAATGTTTCAATATAGAATGACAAAAGATGCTGCTGACTTCCAAGAACTGCACGTGAATCAAAGTTCAAATTTTTCATATGAAAACATATTGATATGATGCTCTTACTAAAAATAAATCCTAATTAGCTTCTTTTTGTAAACCACACTGGGTATCTGCTTGAAGAGCAGCTTGACAAGGAGGGTTTGGGCTTCATTTGGCTTTTTGAAAGAGGGCATTTGTGGCAAGCTGACAGAAACGGCTAACAGGAGAGGAATATGGCTTGTTCACCCTGGGCTCAGGAGGCTGCAGGACAGCAGAGGTCAGGTTTTCTCATGACTATGAGGAGCTACAGTGGTCATGTGAGTCTACTGCAAAGAACAGAGCAGGAAGATAAAGTTGGACTCTTAGTTTGATAATGAACATGAAGTAATTGAGTACCTAAGGAGTATTATTTACAGCTATCTTTAACTACAGCTTTATGAGCTGAGTAAATTGACACAGCCCCATATAACCTTCTTTTAACCACTAGCTGCCTTAACAAACCTGTTTCCTCACTTAGTCCCAGCAAGAGCTTACCTGCTAAGAAGCATACTCCCAGTAATTCATACCCTACACCTGTACCTCCCATACCTGTGCTATCATGGTTCCAGATGGAATGGAAGCTTCCACAAATACAGAGGTACACATGGAGTTCCCCTGCAGATCTCTGTGCTACACATGCAAAAGTGACAGAGATGAACTCTGTAACATCTATGATGCCATGGCACAGCTGCTTGGCACATACCACACTTGCGTGCTCAGCTAAAGTAGATGTGGAATGCCTGGATATGTTCCTGCTTTATCCTATAATAAGGGCTGAAACAGCTTCCTGAGTTCCTGAGTGGTCCTCACAATTCCACAGGTCTCAAGAGAGACTGGGATAAATCCTTGCAACTGCTCCAGAGCCCTTGACTGCCCTCTTGTGTCCTTAGACAACAATGCAAGTAGTCAACAGGTTCCCTACATGCAAGGAGTGGGTGAGTTATCACTGAAAAGTTCTACATAGTGAGTGAACAAGTTGTGGCTCTGCATGTGAACCTCCTGAACCCATTTTTGTAGGACCCCCCCATGAAAATCTATTCTGTTAAAATATGGTGAATCCTGCAGCAATAAGTTACCTCTCCTTTTAACCAAGGTATCCAAATGCACCTTGTCTGTTTTTTTTTTAAAAAAACACATTAACATATGTTTTTGAAAGCCAAAGTGAACTTCCGCAATCCAAACACTTACTGCAGTCTGCAGTGGTCAGGCTAGAAAACTGACCCTGGGTTCTCCAAAACTGCTGAAGAGTCTAGAGACTACCATAAGAAACAGATTGCAAATTATATGTTATAGGGATTCTGAAAAAGGCAGCACATGCCACAGAAACAATAGCAATGCAAGTTTTGTGATGCCTGCATATGTATCTGTGGAACATCCTGAGCTGAAAGCCATTTATGCTAATCTAGGTGGGTGGTGTGGGACAGAGTAGCAAGCTAGAGTGCTGTTTGGACTGACACCCTAAAAGGGCATCATAGTTCTAGTTTAGGAGGAACTCTAAACATTAGCCACAACGTACGTGCTGCCAATTAAACCCATGACCATGAGAAAGAAGGTGGAGTCCAAATGACGCATTATCATTTTTTCCATTATCACAAATGTACGTGCACATTACCAAGTAGCTTACAGAAGCAAATATACTGGCCCCAAAGAGTATACAATCTATATTTTAATAGTGGGGAAGACAAGGAAGTGCAAGAGAAGGCAAACAAACACACATGCTGGGACATTTGACTTGCCTTCTTCTGGTGACCTTTGCTTTACTTTGGCTGGCATAGCCAAATCAAAGCTGGATTTATATGTTTGAAACAGTGGAGCATATTATAAAAATTCTGGCTCCTTAATATGTTGCTAATTCTCAGATAGCAAAGACGAAGATACATGTGCATAAGCAGCACAAGGGGAAGCAATTTACAGCTCTCTTCAATATAAGGTGATTTTGCTTATATAGACTAATGCTTTTCTATTTTAAAATTACAAGCACCAATTATAGTAGGAATGCCATATCCACAAGATCAGTTCCTGCTGTTCAGTTATCTGCTGCTTGGAAATAGTACATAAAAATACCAATAAATACATGTTTCCAATGTGTATTACAGAATTAGCCACTAAAGGGAACCAAAGACTATGCAATATTCGTTGTTGTTTCATGCTGTCAAGTCGGAACTGAATTATAGTGACCCTAGCAGGGCTTTCAAGGTAAGTTAGAAATTTAAAGATTGGTTTTACCAATTCCACTCCCCCAGTGGGTTTCCATGGCTGACCCTGTTCTCCAGTCCTAGTCCATCACACTATTGATTACATCACACTGGATAACTATGCAATGTATAAGGTTTGCGATACCTGTGCTTTTTGGAATCTGCTAAGGGGCCTTGCAACCTATCCCCCATAGATATCTCAGTTCTACTATAATGGAATAATGCAATTTGATATTCTGACTGAGTTATGAATGAATCACTTTGTTACAAAGCAAAATCAGTAAGCTTAGTTTGATGTGCTAGTAAACACTGTATATCTTTTAATTTTTCCAAAATGTCTTCTAAGTTTTTAACATCTGTGGAAATAATACAGTACAAGCTTATGGAAAGCACATGCAAAATAAATTTTATGACCAATGATATTGTGTTACTAAGCTTATTGTGTGCTTTCGTTTTTGCCAAGCAACTATAATATTAAAAAAAAAAACATTTCTCCAACTCTTCACAGATGAGCTGTAGGTACAAGACATCTATTTTTACATCACATTACTGGAGGCTTTATCTCCATCTGCTCTATTCAATCTGCTGTGTTTTGCTCAACAACAGCATTTTTACCATCAATTTAACAGCCAAAAAAGAGAGTTTTTTATTTATTTATTTATTTGATTTGTACCCCACCCATCTAGTCTTCTGACCACATCTGGTCATTGCGGGACTCAGGTGTTTTAGAAATGCAACTCCCAGAAACCCCAGCCAGCACAGCTGATGCTGAAGGCTTCTGGGAGTTGCAGTCCAAAAACAGTTGAGTAACCCAAGGTTAAGAACCACTGGGTTAGATCACCATTTATTAAATATCAGCATAGGAAGTGGCTGGCAGCACACTCTATGGCACCTTATGCTTCACAAGCCATACTTGCATGTAAATGAACTAAAGTAAGTCCATTCACCACCATCATCTCAAACTCACAGAATTGTAAGTGCTACCCGACACAGTGAATGGAATATACCCTTCAGGATGCCTCACACTCTATGGCACCTTATGCTTCACAAGGCATACTTGCATGTAAATGAACTAAAGCAAGTCCATTCACCACCATCATTTCAAACTCACAGAATTGTAAGCGCTACCCCACACAGCGAATGGAATATACCCTTCAGGATGCCTTGGTAGGCCCCTTCCAACTTCACTTTTCTATGCTTC